GTCTCATTGTTATTATACATGCTGGGAATTTCCAAACGAGGTGTGGCACCGGAAGAGTATCATTTTGGGTAGCATTGTTGACATTATCAGTCAGATCTTTTACAGAAGATCCCGGCCAATTTAGTAGTTTGGAAGGGAGGAGAAAACAGCAGGTGGTCGTTATAGCGCACCGGTTAGCGCACTATCTGGAAACACTAGGACCAAGTTCGAGTTCCAGCCAACGCCTTTTGCGTGAACTGAACACCCTTGCGATAGCGTTCTTATGACGAAACGGCAGAAAAAACACTTGGGTATACGAAAACCAGTTAACAGATTCGAGAACTTTGAAAAAGCTATCCTTTCGGCTTTCTTAAGGAATTAGGACTAGACGGAGCTTCTCCTACTACAAACCAAATCATAAACTTTAATGTAAGTAAGCGTTTTGGAGATAGGTACACTGATATCGATGCACAACGGAAACCAATAATGTACAAAAGAATGATAATATGTAGTGGAAATATTGCCAATATCTGTAATACAAAAAATTCTGAACCTCACCAAGACCGTCCCAACGTGATCCACCTCCCGCTGCCGCCATCGTCAATGACGGTAGAGACCGATTAGACGCCTGGAGTGTTGGAAGCGATGAGTGCGGCGGTTGGCGGAAAACCGGACGACGACGGCGCCCCAGTCAACACACACAGTCATCGACAAGGAACTAACGCGGATTGCCGGATTCATGTTTCCGGATTCTGAGCAAACACAATGATCACTCGAAGCACACCGTTGAGGATTCGAATCAGTTGCGACACTCTTGGACAAATAGACGATGCCGATAGATTAGGACGGTTAGGGAGTCGACGAGTTCCAAAACCATGAACAGAGCGTGTTCTTAATTTTATTTCAATTTTTGTATGCCTATGAATCGGGGAGGACTTCAAGGGCGATGTCCTTGAATTTGTCTCCTCACCAAAGCCGCTCTTCCTTAACACGTTGACGACGAGCCATTTTTCCCATGACTTGCGCCTGGGACGGCACATTTTTCTACACTGAAACTTAGTAATTTCCAAATAAATGAATTACTACGACCAAAATGTATCGAGAAATGCAAGAGACGAGTATAGCAATCTCGAATCTTTGACACAATTTAGCTCTTATTGCTCCAATCTTCCAAAATCAGGCCATTTTTTACCAAATTCTTCCTCTGGAGACAGAATTGACTGAAAATTTGTCTCCCGGGGTGGTTTGATCTCCTAAAGAACAATATCGCATCCCTCGACCCGAAAATGTTTGTTGAACTAATTTTATGAAAAGAAAGTAAAAC